TATCTTAAATTCCTGTTCAATTTTTAATTTCCATTTTACTTATAAATTCCAATCCAATAACAATGGTCTATAATCAATGTATAATTAATGTTCATTCAATTCTCAGCAATCCAATCAATGTTCAATCAACGTTCAATAATCAATGTACAATCAATGTTCAATAATCGACTTTCAGCAATCAAATCAATGTTCAATAATCAACGTTCAGTAATCCAACCAATGTTCAATCAACGCTTGCATTTTTTTTTTCGTTACTGTGCAAACATAGAGCTATTGTATTTGGGATTTGGTTTGACAGTTCGCCCACTTCGGGTTCTTGTTGGCTGAATCTGTGTTGGTTTTTGTGGTAGTTCTTCACGAGGTTGAGTTTGCATTTGTGGTTTTGGGTTGTGTATCGGCTGTGTGTCCTAGAATTGTAATGGTATATAAACAGCATTTTGTATGGGCTTGTTTTCTGTTACAGGAAGCAGATATTTTCTGTTTTTTCTTATTTGCGTTTCACCGGTATCGACCAAATATGATCTTGGCTGTTCCAGAATCTTGCTGATCGTTCCCAGGCGATAATGTCCTTTCTTTGTTCTTATTCGAACTGTCTGGTTTTGTTGTAGCGGTGGGAGTGCGCTTGCCTGTGCTTTTTTGTCATAGTAGCGCTTCTGTTAGTTTCTCTTCATTTCTAATTGATTTCTTACAACTTTTGTATTGATTGGTTTTGGTGTCAGTAAGAATTTGTTTGTGTAGAGAGGATTTCTAGTTGTTTGTGATAGTAGTCTTTGTGCCGGTGATTTGAGAACATTATCTCAAGGCACATTGCGTAAGTTCAGAAGATTTTGATAGATATCTGATCCATCTCTTTGTGTCTTTTCTAACAACATCTTTGCCTGCTTTACCGCATTCTCTGCAAGGCTATTTGATAGGGCATGTTCAGGACTACTCATGATGTGAACAAAGTTCCATTCTGATGCGAACTGTTTTAATTGTTGACCTGAATACTGACCTCCATTGTCACTTATGAGAATCCGCGGTGTACCATGGGTAGCAAAGTGACGCTTCAGTTTCACTATTACCGTGGCTGATGTTAAGTCAGTTAAAGTTAAGGGTGCTGCTACTTCACTAAAGTTCTCTATGAATTTTTAAAGTTAGTTTGGCATACCAAGAAAACGGATTAAAGCTTGTGTATCCTTTGGAGCCTGTCTCTTATACACATCTAGTAAGGGCTCCTTGGCTTGATGTGCCTTTAGGGCATTACATACCTGGCAGGATGACACAAACTTGTTTATGTCATCGGACATTGATCTCTAATAGACAATTTCCCGTGCTCTGCGTTTTGTAGCTTCTAATCCAGGATGTCCTTTGTGTAGTATTTGTGTATATGATGACTGGAGAGAGCTAGGAATTATGGTTTTATGTCTTTTCATAACTACTCCATTGTCTACTGAGAGTTCATCTCTGAAAGTAAAATAACTTCGTATTTCTGAAGGGCACGACTTTTTTGGCCACCCCTTAAATATTGTGTTAATTAACATCTGTAGAGTGCGATCTTCTTTCGTTGCACTTCGCAGCTCTTCCTGTTTAGCATCAGAGATGTGCGATACTTCCATGACTTC